TGACACTTTCTCTCACTCCATCCTTCTAAACAGACTTTCCTCTCTTGGCATCTCCGACACACCCCTAACCGGGTTCCAATCATATCTCCTTGACCGTTCCCAGTTTATTCAACTTAAATCATTCTACTCTCGTCTATTCTCAGTCACTTTTGGTGTACCCCAAGGTTCAGTCTCAGGCCCTCTTCTCTTCATAATATACATCCTCCCTTTTGGTACCATTTTCTATAAATTTGATCTTCACTTTTACTATTTTGCTGATGACACCCAGTTATATCTCTCCTGCAGGCCTGATTCCTCCAGAATGTTTATCTGAATTAAAATCCCAGTTCAGCTCAAATTTTCTTAAGCTCAATCAGGATAAAACTGAAATCCGTATCAGCTCCAAATCCAACCTACTAAAGGCAAATCATTTCACGTTCACTATTGAACCTCTGTGGTTTTTGTTTTGCCTTGGTGTCATCCTAGACAGCTCACTATCCTATAAATCTCACATAAGTGACCTCACTCACTCTGCCTATTTCCGTCTACACACCATTAACCAATTACATCCTTCTCTTTCCACTCAGTCGGCGTCCGTTCTTGTTCATAGTCTCGTTACCTCCTGCGTTGACTATTGTAATTCTCTCTTAGACGGTCTCCTCCAAAAATCCCTCCATAAGCTTCAACTGGTTCAAAACTGCCCGCATTATTACCAGAACCCCGTCCTACCAGCACATCATCCCTATCCTTCAGGAACTTCCGAATAGTATACAAGCTTCTTCTCCTCACCTTCAAGGGCCTTAATAACCTTGGTCCTCCTTACCTTTCTTTCCTTTCTTACCTTTCGTCCAGTTATATAACTGCATTTGTGGATGTCAAGTAGACATGCTGAAGATCAAACCAAGCACCAGAATGTGGAAGAAAGATGATTTAAGTGGCACCAAATCATTTCACATTCACTAATGACAACTTCGCAGTTTTCGTTTCACCTCAGGTTAAGAGCCTTGGTGTCATCCTAGACAGCTCACTATCCTATGCCAGAAGGGCTAGTCCGAGTGTTTCAGAAACTGCTAATCAACTGGGAGCTTCTTGCACAACCATCTCTAGGGTTTACAAAAATTGGTCTAAATAAGAGAAAATCTCCAGTGAGCAGCAGTTCTCTGAGAGAAAATGGGCTGTTGATGCCAGAGGTCAGAGGAGAATGTGAAGATTGTTGCAGACTTATAGAAAGGCAATTAAACTAGCGACTGATTGCAACCAAGTCATGCAGAAGAGCATCTCTGAATGCACAACACTTCAAACCTTGAGGCAGATGGGCTACAGCAGCAGAAGACCACACCGGGTGCCACACCTGAGGCTTCAGTTCACTTAAGTACACAAAAGCTGAAGATTAGAACATTACTGGCTGGTCTAATGTGTCTTGATTTGTGCGGCAACATTCAGATAATCGGGTCAGAATTTGGCAGGGACAAGTGAAGAATAGGATATTTCTTCTGCGGTACTGATTTGTGCTGTTGTAATAATTTCGATATGATACTTTTTTTGTCTTCTTCTTGCACACACATGCCTTAACACACACACAGTACGGAATATCTGTGGGTTCCTTCAAAAGCAGCTTAATAGCTAATCCTGTCTTGCAGCATACACACAAACACAGAAGGTCATTGCAAATGGAAACAATGTCTGCTCTATGGTAGAATGTCGATACTATAATCTGATTGGCCTAGTTGATGGATAGGTGGTTTGGTTGACCTATCACAGTTAACTGAATTATTGCCCCCACATGCTTACCTTTCGGTCATTCTGTCTGCTTTCTTTTCTCGCTCTCTCTGTCTCTATAGTCTGCCGCACTTCCTCGTGTACTCTCATCTTCTCTCGTCTTTTTCCAGTCACTAACCAAATTAGTCTTGCCCCTTTGGATTTTGCCCTTTACAGGTCTGGATGAATTGAAGGAAAGGAGGAAGTGTGTGTTTTCTGTTTGTGTGTGTATGTGTGTCAGGCTAAGCTGTTCCTACCAGATGTTTTTCTTTGTTTTATGTTTCTGAGCGCCGCACTGTCTGCCTGTCACCAGCAGATACACAGCTCGGGTGTGTGTATCTTTGAGAGAGCGCGAGCGTGATAGAGAGCTTTTGTATATTTGAGAGGGAGGATGTGTGTGTTTGCGAGATTAATTACTTCCGCATACACTGCTAACACTCCACTGTGCGGTGAAGGGTCGGCGGTACAAACGGTGAATATTAAACCAAATCAATTCTGCCGGCTTTGAAACCGATACGCGCACGCAGAGAAAAAAAAAAACAGGTGTCGACTGTGAAAATCTCCGTTTTTATCTTTAAGCTGGACACTTTTGGGCTGAAAAAGACGCTGAACAGACTTGAATTGAAATGAGTGAAGGTTAGAAACGTAGAGAGCAGGAGAACAACAAGTTTAAGACAGCTTTCTGAGCAGGTGACTGAGGCGCAGAATCCCTGGGCTAAAAATCAACTCGCCTTTCACGTATTCTGTGTTTCAACCTGTTTAAATCCACAGAATTATAATTCATGTCACTTCCTTGACTGTCAAGTTACTTGAGCATTTCTAAGTGTGGGAAAAATCATGGTTTACAAGTTTAATCGCTTCATTATGAACAAAAAAGAAATCAAAGGACAAGTTGTTGTTTTTTTTTATCAGCCTCTTGCAGTTGTAATGTGTTGGCAGCTGTGATTCATGAGACATTTTTGAGATGGCTCTTATATAGAGCTCTAAAAAAAACCCGAGTTTAAACACTTGAAAAAAACTACTTGAGAAAAAGTGAGATCAGTGGTTACAAAAATGCCTGATTCCCATGGTACTGGAAATGGTTGTGTTAAGTGTCACTGCAACTGGCCTAATGAGAGTCTGATGTAGTCTTTTCTTGTTTGTTTAGCTGGATGGCCTTCGGATTTCCATCAGCCTGAACATCTAATCTTAATGCAGCTACTGTATACACAAGTTTTTCCAACATAAACATTAACTTTAGAAACACTTTAGCGATTATAGACTGATCGGACTGATTTGGATTAAACACCATTACAAACATTTAACCTTCATTCAGCAATGATTTGAGAATGTTCACTCTTTGTACTGTCCTTAAAATCACCAACAATCAAATAAATACATTAAAGAATAAGGAAATTTTATTCTCAATGAGAAGGTTGGCATTCAGTTTTAAAATGCCATCCCTGTATAAACACCAGTGTCGAACTCCAGGCCTCGAGGGCCGGTGTCCTGCAGGTTTTAGATGTGTCCTTGATCCAACACAGCTGATTTAAATTGCTAAATGACCTCCTCAACATGTCTTGAAGTTCTCCAGAGGCCTGGTAATGAACTAATCATTTGGTTCAGGTGTGTTGAGCCAGGGTGAGATTTAAAAACCTGCAGGACATCGGCTCTTGAGACCTGGAGTTCGACACCCCTGCTGTGTAATCTACAGAAGAATACATTTTTAATTTTTTCCAAAACCAATGTCATCTCCATTTTTTGACAGTGATAAACAGATCTTTCTTTTAGATCCTTGCTAATCACTTATTCCTTATCAGTTTTAAGTTTTAAAAGATGTTTCCTCTCAGTGCAAATGATTTAGTATTTGAGAGCCCCAAAACAAGCCAGAAACAAAAAGAAATTGAAAAACACAAAGGCCAGCATGTGACTCAGGTGTTGCACAGTCAGTGACGTCAGTGTTGTAGCTGTCAGGAGAAAAATGTCAGCATTGATCAGAGGAAATAACAGCCTTGAAGGCACATAATTCCAGTGGATTGGACAATTTAGAAGCTGTTTCCTTTCCCATCAGTATTGTATGTGGTTATGTAAGTCAATGATGGAATCCAACCTAAACTCCTTTGTAAGTCAGCCTATGAAGATATTTTGGTAAATTTAAACACAGCTTCTTCAGGTTTTAGCTGATTCTTCCCAGGGATGAGACTGGAGCCTAAAGAGACCTGCCTGGCCTTCTGTCCCAAACCTCTGGCCAGCTGTGTGTATGTATCCATGGGAAAATAGAGGGAAGAAGAGGAGGAGCAGGGAATAAAATGAATGGATGGACTGATAGATGTTTTTATTACCCACCCCCAAAAGAAAGAAAGAAAGAAACTGGGCAGAAAGCAAAAGGATGTTGAATAATTCTATATATAGGGCGTTGTATTTGCACAGCAAGAAATAAATAGATTTCTGCATTGCTTTGATCTCATTTTCCTTAAAAACTTGACAAAATATTTAAAATCAGATATGAAAAGGGATTAGGTGGATGATGAATTGTTTACGACTTTGCAACAGTCAGAAAGTTATACGATCCTGCTCTCTTTCAAGGCCATTTCAGGACATTTCCCAGGACCCTGTCAGGCTGGGGTCGGCAATATGACAACAATCCCCGAGGAGCTCTGTAGTAAAAAATCCCGTTGTGTGTATGTGTGTTTGCGTGTGCATACATGTGCACATGAAATCATTCCTTCCATCAGACAGTAACCTCGTAGGACAGGAAGAGAGCCAGTTTGATTAAATAATCAAAATGCTTTGATTGTGTACACGATTACAAGTTAGACAAATACATGTTAACATATAAATAATCAAACATGCGCACGCACACATGCATACGCACAAAGCAGAAGCCACATAAACAGCGGCAGAACATCTTGTTCTGGCTGATAAATTTGAAAGAGTAGGCAGCCAGCACTGCGAGTGCTCACAAGTCATATACAATGTCCTTAGTGTTGATGTGGGAAAAATAAAAAAGTTTTATGATTGTGAATGAACGTGTGTACATAATAGTGCTACAGCATGTCAATTTTTTCCAATAAGCCACCTCTCACGATGAAAAGATTTACTGCATATATTTCAAGAATACTGAATCATTCCTTTGCGACATGAATTTAGCATTTAACCTGATTTCAAATTTTCATTTATAATTACCTCTGATTTTATCTGTGTCTGTTGCTCGTTTTATGTCATGCTGCAATGATGCCCCTCAGATGAGTAAATGGACTTTTTTTATGTTTGTGTCTGCACAGGAGCGTGTGGAGTATCTGTTCCTCATCATTTTCACGGTGGAGGCGTTCCTGAAGGTAATAGCCTACGGCCTGCTCTTCCACCCCAACGCCTACCTGAGGAACGGCTGGAATCTGCTAGACTTCATCATTGTAGTTGTAGGGTAAGCGATCAGAATCACGCAGAAAAGAGACAAACTGTGAGGTTTTATTTGATGGTTCTCTGTTACTCCAAGTGAGTCTATGAAGTTTGACAGATGAAGCAGATTTCATAGATTCAGTTGTGTAATTGTGATGCATAGTCTCTTTTCAACAGCTACCTGACACACACAACCTCAGCACATCATTAGCAAATTAATCATAGTACCTTAGTGTAATTACTGTCAACCAATGGAAGTACAGCCAAGTCAATTGGCAGCCTCTGTCTAATGTAAGAGGTAGTCATAGTGTTAGCATCTATCAAAATTACAGTAAGATAGCATTTCATGTGGCCTTCTTTACTTTCAGTTGCAAAGGCAAAGAAGCAGCTATATTTTCTCTTGTAGCTCATCTTTTACTCTACTTCCTGTTAGTAAAACCAGAAGGGCACTCAGACAGACTCCACAAGGCCAATCCCATATTTTGCGATTTTAATGAAAGTGATCCAGGTCTGCACTAACATTTTATAGATTCTTCTACTGCTCCTCCTTGCTCAACATCTCCACTAGGTTTCCTAAAATTCAGCTCGACTCGTCTCATTGACAGAGAGACAAATATACGGCCTTGGTGAGAAGCTGAAGTCTGTTAATTTATTTACTAATTTAACACGACAGTCATGTGTTTATTTAACATCCAACCATTGAAATAAAAAGTTCAGTTTGTGCCAAAATTATGTTCATCTTTCACAGTCGAATGGTCTGTGTTGATAGCCTGGATCAGTGCAACTTCTGTGATCTTGTCAGCGTTATTGAACACTCTCTCTATTTGTGACAGTAAAATTATTTGATTTGCAATGTCCAACCTGCTGGCACACAAAGTAATTCTGAATTAGGAAGCTGATTGAGGATGTGCATGCTCTTTTTTCACAATATCTCGAGTATATTTAGTATTTTGTTGTATTTTAGAAAGATTACTGTAGTAACCATTTGAGAGGAGCATTGTCCGCTGACAAATCTTTCTTTAGTTCACAGGAAATCTGTGCTAAAGCTGCAGCAAACTTTGGCCATCAGTGTATTGGTGAAGCTTAAACTGATTAGCTTGTGAGATGCTGATAGCAAAGCTCTGCTCTGTTTTTCTTTATCTGCAACTCAGCAACATAGTCCATCTGCTAAATCCATTTTGCCTAAGTTTGTGTGTGTGTGTGTGTGTG